AATATACATATTTGTATACTAAAATATTTTAAAGAAAATTAGCTTATTCTCTATAAGCTTTATCCCTTAAACCGTCTAGCGTACAAATTTGTATGCTAAAATGATTTTTGATCTATTTTTGACATTTGCTCTAAATTTTATTAAGCCGTACCCCTATTTTCTAAGCTAAAATAAAAGTATACTATTTGTTGGTTATAGCATAATTTCCATTTCATGAAATTTCTTTAACGATATTCCAAAAATTATTTATTTAATATTGCCTGTAATAGGACTTTGATGTCCAAATTTAATACTAAAAAAGAAACCTGCATGTGACACTTATAAAGATTCTTTACAATCATCACACACGGGTTCCTTATATAATATAATATTTAAAGTTTATCAAAAATTCTTTAAGACCAATTCTATATAATTGGTTTTAAAGTTAATGTTAAGGAGATAAACTGGCTCAAAAGTATGGGTAAAATAGCATACTTTTCAGCTATCGTGCAAATTTATACTCCTGTTTAGGTCGCACAGAGTATTATATGCTGTAACTATGGAGTTTGCTATGTGACTCAGGTCTTAAAGAGTCATCACAACCAATTAAAATAAAAATTTTTATAAAAAAAAATTTTTTCTAAGTTCACTTTTCTTTAAAATATTTTAGTATACAAATATGTATATTAAACCAGATGGTTTAAGGGATAATGGTCCTAGATACTCTTTTGCAGGAATAGTAAATGATCTAGTTATTTGATCAAAATTCAAATAACCTCAAGTCATCAAATAATGATCAGATTATTTGGATCATTAGGTTATTTGAGTTATTTACATATAAAGTAATTTTATTGATTAAATTACTTATAAAAAAGTTATCGAACTTCATTACTTTCTAATCAATAATTGTAGCTACATATTAAATTCACTTTCTTATATATAAAAAATTTTAAATTTTTTATATAAACATAAGATATGAAAGTGAATTAATAAAAAGTTATTCAATTTATAAAAATTTTAGAACATATACAATTTATTATCCAGAACCACATTATAGTATAAATATTAATTGATTTAGTAAAATTTTTGATTAATTAAGATATAAATAAATATTAATTGATTTAGTAAAATTTTGATTTTGATATATAGCTATGATTATTGATTATATTTTTAATAAAATTTAATTTTGCTTGATGGTCAATTCTAATTGGTTAAATGGTATTAGAATATTAACTAATATATATTAAATGATCTTTTAAGATTATTTAAATATTGAAATAACAAATGACTAGTCATTTGTTATTTGGGTCATTTAGATCATTTTAGGTTATTTACTATCCCTGCTTTTTTGTAAAAGAAGAACTACAAATTACCCCACCAGATCAATATTATCACCCCAATATATTCTCAAGTATTAGTCTTATCTCCTCTTTTCTTCACTTGATATAGAATTTCTTCGAAGACATTGCTTAAGTATTCATCTATTTTAGCTTTATTATAAACTATAATTTGCTTATTTCTAAGCCAGTCTGTTTATGAATTCTTTTTTTCTGTATTATTATTCTCAGGTTTATCATCTATAAGAAATTTGATAAGAGAACAAAAAGCAAACTCGAATTGACCATGCTTATCAAATTCTTTTTCAAGTATTTTTTTAAACTACTTTCTTCAGCTTTTTAATATTTTTTATATATCACTTCTATTATCTGGATGAGATTTAGAAACTTTTGTACAATATATAGCTATAGCTCTTCTTTTAACTGCTATATCTAATTCTTGTTTTTTAAATTTTAAATCTTTATCCAATTTTTTTGCTTATTATTTATCTCTTCTAAGTATCCAAATTCTTTATTAATTAAATTTTTAGATTTATCTTTTCTGAATACTTGCATTTTAGATCCTGGGTCTACCTTTAATTTATCTTTCAATTCATCTTTTGTTAGTGATCTAACTGCTTCTAGATCATATTGTTCAAGATTATGATAGAGAGTTATATAGTCATCTAAGTTTTTTGTTTTAGAACATTTATCTAAACCAAGTTCTTTCTATCTTTTTTGCAATTGTGCTTCTCATGTTTTGAAATACTCACCAGGTTTTTGATTATTTAGATAAATCTATTTCTTATCTTTTTACTAGCTAATATAGTCTTTATTCTTTTATCACTTTTTTAGATAATAATCTAAGAAGTTTGAACAGGTTCTTGAATAGGCTCTTGGATATCTTCTTGAATAAATTATTAGTTATCTTCTTGAATAAACTCTTTAATTAGTACTTGTATAGAAGCTATATTCTTTTGATCTTGTAATGGTTTATATAAATTTTTTTACTTAAGATGCTCATAGAGGTATTGAGTATTTATGGCCACAATGTTTACAGATTGTATCTTTTTTATCATTTCTTGTTTTTCTAACCATAGTATTAGCTTTAACTATTATGCTTTTACTTGCTTATAAATTTTTTCTTTAATTGATGATTCTCCAGTGAACTAAAGAATATTCATAGTGAAACGTGATGTGGTTCTATATGTAAATTACTATAGACGCAAAAGTAGAAATTTTCTAGTAATTGTATAAGAAAAACTTTTTTTTGTATTAAGTTAATTATCTTTGAGTCTCTAGGTAAAGTTGTAGAGCTCATCGAGATGAATGAACTAACTATAGTACTATTAGATTCATCTCGATGGGCTCTACAACTTTATTTAGAGACTCAAAGATGATTAACTTAGTACGAAAAAAGTTTTTCTTGGACAATCACTAGAAAATTTTTACTTTGGCACCTATAGTAATTTATATATAGAACCATATTACGTTTCACTATGAACATTTTTCAATTCACTGGAGAATTGTCAATTACAAATCACTCTCGTTATAGTGAAGGAATCGGGCTGAGAAAAAAAATCTTCACTATAGCTTATATCGAGAGAATACTATATAAACTTTATTATATCGAGAGAAA